TACAGGATTTAATCCTGGTTTACTACTAGGTGTAATCTGGGTTTATTATAGGGTTTAATCTGTGGTTACAACAGGGTTTAATCTGGGTTTTTATAGAGTTTTATCCAGGTTTATTACAGGGTTTAATCCTGGTTTATTTCGGGTTTATTACAGGGTTTATTACTGGCTTTTTTAAAGGGTTTATTACAGGATTTAATCGGGATTTATTACAGGGATTCATCTGGGTACAGGGTTTAATCCGAGTTTATTACAGGGCTGGATCTTGGTTTGTTACAGTGTCTAATCTTGGTTTGATACAAGGTTTAATTCAGGTTTATAACAGGGTTTTATCCAGGTTTATTACAGGGTTTAATTTGGTTTTATTACAAGGTTAATCTGGGTTTAATACAGGATTTAATCCAGGTTTATTACATGGTTTAATTGGGGTTTATTACATAGTTCAACCCAGTGTTATTACAGGGGTTAATATGGGTTAATTACAGGGTTTTAGCTTTGTTTATTACAGGGTTGAATGTGGGTTTATTACAGGGTTTTATTTCGTGTTTTTATTACCAGGTTTTATCCAGGTTTATTACTGGGTTTAATTTGATTTTATTACAAGGTTAAATCTGGGTTTATTACAGGATTTAATATAGGTTTATTACAAGGTTTAATCTGCGTTTATTACAGGGTTTAATATCAGAATCAGAATAAGCTTTATTATCATTGCACCAAAATACAACGAGAACATGTGCATGCAGTCGTCTGGAAGATGAATGGAGTGCACGAAGCTGCTACTATAACTAAGTGTGGCTTCTCTTATCCTTTTTCAGAATAATAATCTTAGCTAAAAAAGGGGGAGAAACATGAGGGTAGATAGTGGTATTACAAAAAAGATCTTTCACATCTTGTCTATCAGGACATGATTTGAGACATAAAAAAAAACTCTACCAGCAAGCACAGTTATCAGGGTTTATTACATGGGTTTATTTTGTGTTTTTTACCGGGTCTAATCGAGGTTTATTACAGGGTTTATTCTGGACTCATTACAGGGTTCAATCTCAGTTTATTACAGGGTTTAATCTGGTCTCATTTCTGAGTTAAATCCGCGTTTATTACAGGGTTTAATCCGGGTTCATTACAGGATTTAATCCAGGTTTATTACAGGGTTTTATCCAGGTTTATTACAGGATTTAATCTGTGTTTACTGCAGGGTTTAATCCAAGTTTACTACAGGACTTAATCCGGATTTATTACTGCGTTTTTATCCCAGTTTATTACAAGGTTTAATCTGGGTTTATAACAGGGTTTAATTCAGATTTATTACAGGGTTTAATTTGGGTATATTACAGGGTTTAATCCAGATTTATTTCAGGGTTTAATCCAGATTTATTACAGTGTTTCTTTCGAGTTTTTTACAGAGTTTAATCCAGGTTTATTACAATGTTTATTCTGGGTTTATTACAGGGTGTATTCTGAGTTTATAACAGTGTTTAATTCAGGTTTACTGCATGATTCAGTTTGGGTTTATTCCAGGGTTTAATCTGTGCTCATTTCAGAGTTTAATCCAGCTTTATTACAGGGTTTATCTGTGTTTAAGAAAGGCTGTATGGGCTTAATACAGCATTCATTTTAGGTTTAATGCAGGCTGTAATCAGGGTTTATTTAGGCGTTAGTCTGGGATAACTACAGGTTTTAATCTGGGTTTATTGCAGGGTTTAATCTGGAGTTAAATTATTGATTCAATAAGTGATTGATTTATGAGTTCTGTTTCATCTGAATATAATTCTCAGACTTTTACCTGATCAAAATACAAGTCTATTGTTTCTGATCAATGTTTGTTTGTTTGTTTGTTTTAAGGAGGATGGAGAGAGACAAGGAGATGACTGATGAGAAGGAGGAAGAGGAGGACGCGGAGCTTTGTGGTCACATGGCTGTGGCGTCCTCTGTGGACAAACTTCCCATCATGCACTGGGAGGACCTGAGCGAGCGGATCGCTGAGCTGGAGAGACAGGAGGAGGAGAGGAGGGAGGGGGTAAATGTCAGGTTTGGTTCTGTGGGCTGAGGTGGACTACGTTTCCCACAACCCTCGGCGTTTTCTCCTCCTTTAACTCCGCATCAGATTTAACAAAAATTTGAACAAAATTTACTGTCTTCCTGCAGAGGGGGACAGGGGACAGTCAGAGGTCAAAGTGGACGGACGTCTGGGAGGAAGAGGAGGAGGACATCAGGAAGTGTCAAGTCGCTGTCTTCACTTCACGGTACCAGAAATATTAATTTAAAGGTTCTGAGGGAGACGACTGGCGCCACCTGGTGGTCGAGTTCAGATATGACAGACAGAGTAGAAAATAGCAAAAAAATTGTTTTAAACTGTTGAAAATTAAAAAAAAAAATCTCACTTGATTTTTCTATTTATAAAATGTTTTGCAGACTTTAGTCTTCTGAACCTTTCAGACGTTAAAAACCTGCAGAGACATATGATGTTAAAGTGACTTGCTCTTGTCAAAGGTGGACGTCTCCTCCTCTCCCTCTCCGCTTTGTTTTTGCTCTGTCCTGTCTGTGAAACTGCTTTAGAGCCTCTCTTATACAAATCTTCAGAACCATAATTTATGGACTTGGATTGGTTCAGTTGGTCCCTCAACACAATTTACAACATTTCTTTGAAGAGAAGACAGGCTTTAGGAGAGCCGATTTGCCCTGTTGGCACACAGCTGGATATCTCATTGACTTGAAGACTTGATGACGTGTCTATCTCTGCTGTCATCTGTGGATTTTAAGGACGCATTTATAATTGGATTTATGATAACTGGTTTGCTGTTTTTGGATTCGGCTGGTTTATCTACAATCAAGGAAGTCGTCTGCAATAAATTTGGACCCAATCACGCTGCTTGCCTTATATGATTGCTTGGTTTGTGCCTCAAGCACCCAGACTCAAATGCTTTTGGCAGGAAGGATCAGATCTCAGGGATTATTCTCAGACAGGTCCATTGGTGTGGCCATTTAATTTGGACGTTTCGGAAATGAGTGGACCAACACAGACTCGTCGTTAAAGTTCTGTCTGTCCCCAAAACAATCGTGTTTATCTGAATTCAGCTCCCTGACTGGCCTTGACAGGCCATCTTATCTCAAGCCGCCTGGACGTTTTGTAAATCCGAAGCTCTACCCCCTCCCTCCCCTCCTACAGAGGAATTTCCATGGACTTTTCAGAGGAGCCCAGCTGAATAAAAATTCATTCATCATTTCAGGACTCTTTGGATTTGTCTTTGGTCGTCCTCGGCACCCCCGGGTGTGTTGTTATGTGCTTATGTGCGAGATTTTTTTTCATTATCATGCTGTTGACCTTCGACCAAAGATTAAGAGCATGTTAGATTTTTTTTTTATTTGGTCTCCAAAGCCTATGTGTCATTTTCACCACTTTTTATTGTCTGTCCAAACAGGTCTCACTTGTAAATGAGCCTTTGAAGCTCGATGTGACTTATCTGTTTAAATAAAGGTTGAATTGAGTTGAAAAAAAAATGTTGTTTTTGTCTGTTACCAATCTCGGGCTATCCAACAATTTTCAGTCTGGTCATCTGGACAGTTTCTTTTTTTGTGCTGAAACGTTTCACCTTCCATCCAGAAAGCTTCATCAGTCAAGGAAACACACAACATAAAACTGATTCTTCCCCCAAACAGCTTACTCAAAGTGGAACAAACCAGTTATGTTGGTGCTAAGATGGTCTCTTTGGCACACCCCCTCCTCCGGTGCCGGCCCTCTCCCTCGTCGATAGTCATGTCAAACTGATTCAATACCAATAAAGTCCATGCTCAATAATCCAGGTATACAATCCAAAAATTTTCAGGTCAGGTCAGGTCATCTGGACAGTTTCTTTTTTTGTGCTGAAACATTTCACCTCCCATCCAGAAGGCTTCATCAGTCTCGGGATAGTTTTAGACTCGGATTTTAAGTTTAATAAACGGATCAACTCTGTTACAAAAAAGCTTCTTTCAGCTAAGGCAGATAGCTAAGCTCAAGTCTGTCCTGTCCAGATCCGACCCTGAACAATTAGTCCATGCATTTGTTACAACCCGGCTGGACTACTGTAACTCGCTTTATGTTGGGGTCAGTCAGGTCTCGTCCAAAATGCTGCAGCTCGGCTACTAACAGGAACTCGCAGGTTTGAGCACATTACTCCAGTTCTGTCCTCTCTTCACTGGCTTCCTGTGCGTGTCAGAGTTGATTTTAAGATTCTCCTGCTGACATTCAAGTGCATTAACGGCCTTGCACCATCATACCTCTCCGACCTTCTTCATCCTTATGCTCCTTCTCGGGCTTTGAAATCATCAGACCAGCTGCTTTTGGCCGTACCAAAAACCAGCTGAAGCTCAGAGGAGATCGGGCGTTTTCAGTCATGGGCCCTAAACTCTGGAACAATCTGCCCATCAACGTTCGACAGGCCACCTCAGTCTCTGCCTTTAAATCTCTCCTAAAAACACCTGTACTCACTGACACATCTGTACTCACTGACACATCTGTACTCACTGACACATCTGTACTCACTGACACATCTGTACTCATTGGCATTTGACACAGGAGGTGTGGTATTGCATGAGGAAATCTGGAGTGGCAGAGAAGTATGTTAGACTGGTACAGGACATGTAAGAGGACAGCAAGACATGTATGGGGACAGCAGGACAGTGGTGAGATGTGATGTAGGCGTGTCCAATAGCTTTAAGGTGGAGGTGGGAGTGCATCAAGGATCAGCTCTGAGCCCCTTCTTGTTTGCTCTGGTGATGGACCGACCGACAGATGAGGGCAGGCAAGAATCCCCGTAGACTATGATGTTTGCAGATGATGTTGTGATCTGTGGTGAGAACAGGGAACAGGTGGAAGAGAACTTGGAGAGGTGGAGGTATGCACTTGAAAGAAGAGGAATGAAAGTCAGTCGTAGTAAGACAGAGTCCATGTGTGAATGAGAGGGAGGAGGTGGAACAGTGAGGCTACAAGGAGCAGAGGTCACAAAGGTGTAGGACTTCAAGGACTTGGGGTCCACAGACTGATGATGAAGATTAGTTGTTTAAACCCAGCAGAACATCAGAACTGACCCAAACGGATCCGTCTGGTTTCAGGTTTCAGAACCGCAGGAAGCTGCAGCTCTGCTTCATCAACGACAGCGACAGTGAGGAAGAGGAGGAGGGGAACACGAAGGTCTTCATCATCAAATTTCTGTTTTTAAAATGACATTAAACAATGAAGCTTAATGAACGAATGAATGAATCAACAAACGAACAAACTGATCAGTGAATCAACAAATGAATCAATGAGTGACTGATCTGCTTGATGTTTATAGAAGTCTGAACCTTTCTGACTCATCATCTGGGCTCTGGCAGTCTGACCTTTGACCTTTGACCTGTCAGGTTGCCAGGGGAACTGGACATGGCAGTTGCCATGGCGCCAAGCTGAAACAGGAAGTGGCGGCAGCTCTTCAAGCGCTGAGAGACAAACTGCTGGCAGAGCAGAAAGAGGAGGAGGAGGTAATGATGAAGAGTCAACAGGAACCAGCAGCAGTCCGAGGTCACTGACAGATCTCTGTGTGTGTGTGTCACAGGCCACCTGCAGCAGCTGTGTCTCTCAGAGGAAACATCTGGAACATCTGGACCTGCAGCAGTTATCTGAGCAGCAGCTTCTCGCTCTCAGAGCCTCGCTCCAGCAGGAAGTTCACGGTAACCCACCGCCTCAGAACCGCTCCGGTTCTCCAACTGAACCTCTTCCAGATTAAAGCGAAGCGTTCAGACCTGCAGAAGTTTCAAAACGGGTTTAATCCATGAAGATCCTGGAGAGAAACAGAAACATTTGAGACAGCCGGAATCAATTTTTTCATTCATTCAACCTTTATTTATACAGGTTAGTTTCACTGAGCCTCGAGGACTCATTTCTTTACAACCTAGCTGTTTTTGTTTCGTTTTTAGTTTTAATGCCATTTTCTTTCACTTGTTCTTCTCAATTTCTAAGTTTTCTTTTACGATTGTCCACTGTTGTCATCACTCTTTGTTAAATCAGGTCTCTCTTGTAAATGAGTCCCCGAGGCTCAATGAGACTAACCTGTAAAAATAAAGGTTGAATGAATTTACAACTGAGACCTGTTTTAAACAAAAACCACAACTGAGGAACAGACAATCATATAAAAGCATATAAAATGACAAGTAAATAAAAAGAGTGATATACAAGAAAAAAACATCTACATTATTAAAACAATATAAAAAACTAAAAACAGGAACATGTCAGCATCGGTCCCTGCCAGGAGTCCAACAGATTCTTAAAGACACTTAGAGAGGTCAAAGGTCGAGAGCTTCAGGTCTTTTTACAAGATATTCCAGGAAACAGGAGCGGAGTAGGAGAAGGTCCTTTTGTCTAGTTCAGTCCTCACTGAGGGAACACTGCAGGTAATGATGTCCTGAGAGCGCACGCTGTAGCTGCACTCACACAGAGACATGTAGGAGGAGATGTATGAAGGCAGCAGACCAGGAAGTGATTTAAAGATGAAAATGTACCAGTGGGAGAGTCTGTGTGAAGTTAATGGTGACCAGTTAACCAGTGAATACAGGGAGCAGTGGTGGGTACGGTAGTTACAGCCAGTTATGAATCTTAGTGCACCATGATAGACAGCATCCAACATCTGCAGCATCCAACATCTGCAGGGTTCTTGTAGGAGCGTTCATGTAAATAATGTCACCGTGATCAATGGAGGGAAGGAAAGTCACAGATACAAGATGTTTCCTAACATTCAGGGTTAGACAGGATCTGTTTCTGAAAAAGAAACCCAGTTTAACTTTCAGTTTCTTTACCAAGTTTTCCACATGGAGCTTAAAAGAGAGATGTGAGTCGACCAAGATACCCAAATATTTATAGGAATCAACAAACTCAATGGGGACACCATTTGTAGATAAGATAGAAGGAAGGACTGCTGGTACTTATTTCCTGTTTGGAAAAAGCATCCCTTTGGCTTTGTCAGTATTTAGGACAAGTTTGAGATGGAACAAATCAGACTGGATGATGTTAAATGCAGATTTCAAAAGCTGGAAAGCCTTTTCAACAGTTTTAGCTCGACAATAAACAACTGTGTCATCAGCATAGAAATGTATGGATGTATCAGGGATGATCGGACCTACATTACCTATGTAGATTGTAAATAGGGTGGCTCCTAAGACTGAGCCTTGTGGTACACCATTGTTGACTGTTAAATAACTGGAGGAAGTACCATTATGTTGAACACATTGCCTCTTCTTGCTTATTGCTTTTATTTCATTCCGCTTGTGTCATTCTGTTCCGTAGGTATTTTGACTCTGTATTCTCTGTCAGTTTCCACCCAGTCCTCAGTCTGCCTCTCCGGTCTCCAGTCTTTATCATTCCCACCTGTCCCTCATCAACCACCTGCCCAGGTGCTCTCATTACTCACTCTGCCTTATTTAAAGCTCTCCTCTCCTCCACTCTGCGTCCAGTCATTGTTCAGTTCTGTTTATGCACAGATGATTCAGTCCTCCTCTGTTCCTCTCTGTTTTCTACATCGCCTTATAATCAGTGGTTAATTTGAGCCGGATCCTGCCGGAACAAGATCCGGGAACTCTCATTTTGACCGCTCGGATCCGGCAACTCAAATATCCGCCCCTAAAAGTCCAAAGTCATTGCACTTTTTTATTTTGATTGTTTATTAAAAATACAACGAGAGGAGACGTTGGCCAGTCTGCGGAGTGGATGTTCTGGCCGCACCACGCTCCTGACCAGCAGAGACACGGACTGCATGTCCAGCGGGGAGCGTCTTCATCCACCTTCAGCTGTGTCCTGAAGACTTTACACACACAGGACTCTGCAGGTCCAGAAAAACTCAAACCCTGAACATCCAAGAACAGGAAGACAAAGCTTAACAGTTCTCAGAGCAACAGAGGAAAAAAGTTTCCATGTTAGCAAAATATCTCGAGAGCCAGTGGACAGATGTCAGTGAACATCAGAAAGGAACTCTGGATCTGCGTCTACAGCTGATAGACAGCTCAGTTCAAGATGGCCGCCACAGCCAGCTGACATCAACGAGCACAGAATGTCCGTCAGAACCTCTGGGAGTCGATGAGAGTCGTCCTCAACTGGACCCTGAGGGTCACATGGTGTCTGAGCTCCGACCCAATCGGTTCTGACGGTTCATGGTTTCTAATGTGTTCCTTTGTTTGACTAGAACCCACCGGGTCATGTTCTGGTTTCTGTGTTTAGTTTTTAACGTCTCTAAAGTTCTGTTTGTCTGGTTCTGGTTCCAGCTCTGAGCTCTGAACTGGTGGCCCACCTGTTGGTACGAGACCAGCTGAGGACCAAGCAGGAGGCCATGCTTCTGGACGTCCAGGACCTGACCTGACACCGGGACCGGGTCGGGCCAAGGTTCCGTGTGCTTGCTTCAAACCAAACGGAACATTTCTGGACAGCAACAAACTGGGTCAGAGTTGTGATGGAACACGGAGAACAGTGAGGTTCTAACGGGTCAGTGTGAGAAGAAGTTCTGGTTTCAGGACAAAATCTGGACCTTCACTGGTCCTGATCCGGTCTCTACTTTAAACCATTTGGACTGAAACTGAACCAGGATCTGGGTCTGAAATGGGCCTGAAGGTAAAACCTGCTCAGAGGTCGTCAGCAGAACCTCACGGGTCAGACTCAGACGTGGAGGACTGGTTCTGCTGCACCGGACAGAACGAAAAATCACAGGATCGTGTTTTTAAAGATTTTATTTTATTTGTCGTAAAGATCAGAATCTTTTTTTAAATTCTGATTTAAAAACGACAAATTTCACTAAAATATCTGACGTCAAAACAAACAGTTTAAAACATAAAACGTTTAAATTTAATCCGATTAAATTTTCTGATACAACGAGAAAAACTAATTTAAAGATTTAAATGACACATTTTGTGAAGTTCCTCTTTTATTCTGGTACAATTATTAATTATTATTAATTATTGTTTACTTTATATGAAAGGACAAATCAGTTCATATGTAGATTTTTTTATTCCACCGTCGTGTTTTAAATATTTAGATTATTTATTACAGATTTTTGTTTTCTTTACTGAAACGAATCCAAAGTTTTATTAAAAGCTTTTTAATAAAACCTGTGACTTTATTTAGAAACATTTTATTTTGTGAAGTTTAAAGATTCTGTTTTAGTGCAAACATAAAATTTTAAATGTATTTCAAGACCAAAACAAACTTTGTTTGTTTGTATCTTTATATTAAAATGTTTCAGATTTTGCTTGGTTCTCCTGCTTGGGATTGTTTGGACCCTTGAAGACGTCCTGAGGACGAGGACAGCAGCTGATGGACACATTCAGGCATCTTTTTGTCCCTTTTCCTGGAGACACGTCTTAAAGTGATAGTTGCGCTCTTTAATAGTGGGGTTCTGTGGACTTGAAATGGGGGGGTGGTGGACAGGTGGACACATGAAACAAGCAGGAGTCCCTTTGGACAGTTCTGTTTGCAGATAACCTTTGTAGTGAGGGTGGGGAGCAGGTGGAAGAGAGTCTGGCGAGGTGGAGTATCAGAAATGTATCTATTAGTGGGACAGATCGGGTTTTAAATGCTGAGATCGATGGGACATGTGCAGAGGAGGGATAGTGGACATGTTGGACAGTAGAACTCAAAGAGGATGGACAGTGGACATGTTGGACAGCAGAACTCAGGGAGGAGGATAGACAGGGGAACGCAAGGACGGTGAGCAGCCAGAGACAACACACAGAGGCACTGCAGAGTTCAGATAAAATTACTCAGTTCAAATAGTTCCCTCTGGAGAGATCCGTGCACACCCGGGGGGTGCTGAGGACGACCAGAGACGAATCCAGAGTCCTGAAATGATGACAGAATGTTTATTCAGCTGGGCTCCTCTGAAAAGTTCGTGGAATTCCTTGGGGGGTGGGGGGGTTGCAGAGCATCAAGCTTCCAAAACTTCCAGGCGAGTTGAGATAAGATGGCCTGTCAAGGCCAGTCAGGGAGCCGAATTCAGATAAACACAATTGTTTTGCGGACAGACAGAACTTTAATGACATCTACGTTGAGTCTGTGTTGCTCCACTCGGTTCCGAAATGTCCAATTTACATGGCCACACCGATGGAACGTGCCTGAGAATAATCCCTAAGATCTGATCCATTCTGCCAAAAGCATTTGAGTCTGGGTGCTCGAGGCACGAACCAAGACTTCATAAGGCAAGCAGCCTGATCGGGTCCTAATTTGCTGCCAACGACTTCCTTGATGGTAGATAAACCAGGAACCAGCTGAATCCAAAAAGCAGGAACCAGTTATCATAAATCCAATTATAAATGCGTCCTTAAAATCCACAAATGGCAGCAGAGACAGACACGTCATCAAGTCTTCCAAGTCGATGAGATATCCAGCTGCGTACGTGCTAACAGGGTAAATCGTCTCACCTAAAGCCTGTCTTCTCTTAATGTTATCAATTGTGTTGAGGGACCAACTGACCAAATCCAAGTCCACAGCTATGATTCTGAAGATTTGTAGAAGAGAGGCTCTAAAGCAGTTTCACAGACAGGACAGAGCAAAGCGGAGAGGGAGAGGAGGAGAATGGTGTCCGCCCTTGACAAGAGCAAGTGTTGAAGTAGAACTCAGATAGGAGGGACAGTGGACATGTTGGACAGTAGAATTCAGGGAGGAGGAG